GGCCCTGAACTCCCTAAGTAGTCCAGGGTGACCTCAAATTCACAGAAATCCTCCTACCTCAGCCTTGCAAGTGCTGGGATTACAGGTGTGCACCATCATTCCCTGGTCAGTTTTCTTAAAGTCAAGCACCACATTTACTCATGCGCATTCTAAGGACTTTGTGCAGCCTCTATTATGCAGCAAGATTTTCTTACATGTTTGATGATTGAGTGAATGAATAATTGAGTAAATATTTTATTGCACCATTTCCTGCTTAATCCCATTAATGACTGATTATAGACTATCTCATTGAATTATGTTAACTGTATTATCACATATTTTATATTTGGAAATTCATTCGTTCATCATAATTTATTTGTAACTCCCAAATCAAAACTCAATCATTCAAAACCATGTGTTTTGCTTCATGTTTAACATCAAGGTCCTCTCAGCATTACAACTTCTCCATGAAGTCTTCTTTACATACCTGAGCCCAAATTGATTAGCTCATGTCTTTGAACCTCTCAGATAGCTGTGATCTTGTCTGTATTGTGTAGTTACATGTAATCTTCTCTTATTCCCTACTCAGTTCATGTTATTTGCTATGCTTTTATTATCATTACTTTAAAAACAGTTATCCATCTCCCATTTATATAAATTTCAGTTATTTGTACTGACTTATGGATGATAAATCCAAGAATTAGCAAGTAATGCGTCTAAGAAATGTCACTTTTGGGTGTAAAATGGAAGTAGAAGCTGAGATCCCCAAATCGGTGCAGTCCCAATGCTCTGTGCCAGTGGTTGTGAAACTCATTCTAGTGACATTTCTTGTTTTTGTTGAAGCACAGTGATGGAGACTATTTACTGCAATCTTATTATAAGCAGCAGTATTTAGTATCTGTTCACATCTTTGTTACTATCAGAAAGAGAACAAGAGTGTGTAGGGAACGACAACAAGGGAAGTATCACTGAATTGGCAGTGGAAAAAAAAAAACACAAACCCTGAGCCAGGAGTAAAATACGAAGTCTGAAGAGAGAATAAAGGAAAAAAGAAACTCTCCATCCCTACTTCTACCAGCATACAAGTGAAAAAAAAAAAAAAGAAATATCCTATTTCACTCTAGGAATGTGTAAAACTCCTCTATGGATAGATCTTTAAATCAACCAGAGGAGGAAAGGCAGGTACCATTTCCATGAAAGATACATTTTCAACAAATTTTACTTTTATGGTAAAAGATTGTTGGAAATTATTTTCTTTTTATTGTTTGTGTAATATTTTTAAGTTTTTATTAACGTATTCTTGCATTACATAATGATTACATTACTCAGAAGGATTAGTCCATATGCATAGCACATCTCTTCTCCACTTCCCTGCACTCCCTTTTCCCTTCCTCCACCTCTTGATCCCCTTCCTACTTGAGAAAGGTCTGTATTTCTACTGCCTATTATGTCTCTTATCTTTTATTTTGTACTTTATTTATATATTGGCTTTCTTATATAAGAGAAGCCTTGTGATATTTAGGCTTTAGTGTCTGATTCATTTCACTCAATATTATGGTCTCAAGGTGAATCCATTTTCCTACAAATTACACAGGTTTATCTTTCTTTATGGCAGAGTAATACTCCATTATGTATAAATACCACATTTTCTTTATCGATTCATCTATTAATGGATATACAAGCTGTTTTCAAGATTAGCTATTATAAATTATGTTTCTGTAAACATAAATATCATGTGTCCCTATAAAATGATATATTTAACTCTTTTAGAAAGATACTTAGAAGGGGAAGAACTGAGTAAAGTGAAATTTTTATTTTTAGTTTTTTAAGTCCATCTGTTCAAACCCCATTTGTTCAAAGTTTTGGTTTAACTCTGGGATATTTCTGTGTTGACTTCAAGACAGGATTGTATGGCAGATGAACATAGCAGAGGAGAAAAAGTCCATGGCAGTGCAGAGAGACAGCAGCAGCAAGCACGAAGCACCAAGCCTCCCCTTTCCTTTGTCCCATCCATGACACAAGGCCCAGCGTGAGCCTTCCCGTTATCCACACCCAGAGCTCTAATAAACCGATTCATGACAAATCCAGTACCATGCACCTGTAATGCCAGCATCATAAATCCTAGATTCAGTCTCCTCTCAAAGGCCCCACAGTGAGTGCATGAGGCTTAGAGGTGCATCCAGATACAAGCTATAATGCTATCATTTGATTTTTTTAATATACAAATTTCTTTTTTAGTTAAACATGTTTGTTGTACTCTGCACATGGTTGGGTTTTACTTTAAGCTATTCTGCCAGTCAGTGTCTTTTTGTTGGGAAATTGAGACAATTCACATTGAGAGTTATTTCTGAAAGGTGCTGACTTATTCCTGTCATTGTATAAGGTTCCTATTGCTAGTTTTCTGACTTTTTCCTATTGTTTAGCTGCTTATCCTGATACATATATTCATGCTTTTTGACATATTGACTGTTCTGTATGTGTTCCCCCCCACTCGGGTGAGATAATTGGTATGTTAATCAATGCTCCCCTCTGTAAAGAATGTAAATCCCTGGAAACCTAGCCTAATTGATATGTGAACCATTGTTGCCCTCTACAAATAACAGATGTGGTGCTAAAATAAGCTGACAAAAGATTGTTAATTACTGCTAGACTTCTCTGTTCTCTGCCAAGGCAAACAAAGGTCTTCCTCATTAGCAGGTTTCTTGATCCACGCCCATGACCCCTTAACTTTGTAAACTGTGATTCTACAAAAGGCTGGAGAAGTTTCAAAGAGACACACAGCTTTTGCAAACTCCAACTGCACTTTGTCGCTGGGCCCAGGATAAAATAAATCAGCGCTGCTTTTTGAAATATGTTTTTGCCCCATTTTTTGAACTCGAATTTGGGGGCTCATTTGTGGATTACAAGATTTATGTGGTTAACTGCCTTTCTCTACTAGCTTTTAAGATTTTGCCCCTGAAATGAACTTCTAATACTTTGAATATTTTGTGGCATGGATAAGTTCTCTTTTTGTTGTGGCTGTTTGAGATCAGCCATTATTTCTGTAAACAGTTTTTTTTTTTTTTATGCCACTGGCATTATTTTCTGCTTTTTCACTTATTCCAGTTGCTCTTAGATTAATAGTCTTGCCATCACATAGTAGCTGTTGAATCTATTTTTCATGTTTTCTTGTTTTTAGGGTCTTTCACTTACTGTCCTTTGAAAGCATCATTGTCTTCCAGTTTTGAAGTTTTGTCCTCACTTTGTTCTCTTCTACGTCCCATATTTTCAGTATAATTTTTGCTCTGCTGGATTTCTAATAGAAATCTCATGGACTCAAACTCTTTGGTAAATTTGTCATTCATGTTTTGTGTCATTTTGTTTAGTTCAGTTAGCTTTTATTAGTGTCTTCTGAAAGCCTGTGGGTCATTCTAGTTATTACTTCCCCTGCCTGTTTTGTTATTCTGTGATCCCATTGAGTACATCCTTGATTTATTGTCTAATACCCTCTGTTAATCTTTCAAATAATTTAGGTTATATAGGTTATGCTATTCTCTCCCTTGGTGCCCTCAGGTTGGCTTTGGGATAGTTGGAAGTTTTAGGAAGTATTTGTTGTCTTATCTTCTTGTGTCTTTTTTATTTTTATTTGTTTTGTGTGTGTGTGTGTGTGTGTGTGTGTGTGTGTGTGTGCTGAGGAGTGTGGAAAATGATAATATAGGTCCTTGTTCCTAGCATAAAGATCTTTTTAGTCATTTCTCATTCTTTGGTCATGACTAGCTATAGTCCTTTGGGTCTGCCCCAACATTTGAAGAACTGGATTAATTTTAGAGAGGAAGATGCAGTGCAAGTGGCCCAACAACAAATTCTCTGGAACTCTATCTTAGTAAATTATCAACGTAGCAAAGGTCATCTGTGTGTTGGCTTACAGGAAAAAAATGATATTAATAGCAATAATTATCTGGTAACGTCAAGCAAATTGCTTACAATACTTTTGTCCCAGACAGATTTGATATTAACATATCATAAAAACCAATTATTTATCACCCTTAACCTTAAGGAAGAAAATCACACTTAATTGTGTAAACACTAAGACAAACCCAAGAACTGACAAATAGCTAATATGTACTAAATGCAACAGGCCCATCTCTGCTGAAGGTAGAAAGGACTTCAGCAGTATTTTTATAGAGTCAATTACCCAAAGACCAGTAAGTGTTTACAGAGACATAGGGAAGATTGAGAGTGGGGAAATACAAAAAGAAAAATATGAACTCTTAAACTATATGATATAAAAGGAAGAAAGAAAAGCGGGGCAAAGGATCCTATGGGGATGTAGAAAGATGTTTGTAGAATTATATAAAGGTAACAGAAAGAAAGTGATCAAAAATAAAAGATAAAAGAAAAAAGCAGGAAAAAATAAATTATATGGGGAATAAAAATAAGGGAGAAAATTTTAAAAGGAGGAAAAGACAAAAGATGTACAAAAAAAGAAGGAAAGAAAAAGGACAAAGGAAAATTCTCCAAACCCTGATAACCTAGTGAAGAAGGAAGAGGAAGGGAGAGAGAGAAGAAAAAGCACGTAGTCACACACTCTCATTAAAAAATCTGTCTTTGATTTTAAATGCTTAAATTTTTTTCAGGATCCACAATTTTAGGACAGTGTCCAATTCCAGACATGTCCTTATTCACATGGGTAGATACATAAGGCAGTCAGATCCTCTGTGCTGAGCACAGACACCAACGACATGAGGACACCAGTGCCTGGGCTTTCAAATACAGAGCAACTCAGGTTGGCCTTAGCTCTGGCCATGGGAGTGGGACTGCATCTTTTAGCTCAAATTTCTGCAGGGGTCTCTTTCCAGCATACTTCCTGACTGCAGCCTGTATGGTGCAGCTACCTCTCACCCACTCAGTGCTGGAATGTAACACTTGGAGCCCTCAGGCAAAACCTCCTGTCCCTGCTCTAAGTCCTGGGTTCAAACAATCAACCCTTCTCTGTAATGGCATCTGACCAAGAACTCTATGAATAGGATAGAGTCACTCACCAGCTGAATCAAGTCTCCTGTGGGAGCAGAATCCCACACCATGTCAGCAGATCACAAAATCTACCTGTCCATTCTGATAGAATTTTCGGTGCGGAAGGGAACCATCTGATAGGATTTTGGCGTGGCTGAAAAGATAAGAAGTATGAAATAAAAGAGACCTTTATTTTAAGAATGTGGGGAGAGACCCCTGACCCTCCGGGGGTCTGGCATTCTCTCCGCCAGACACGTGGTGTGGGGGCATACATGTAGCTCAGGTTTGGGGTGGTGCCTAAGGGGCATTAGTGATGCACAGGTAGCCCATTGGTATTCATTTGGCACCACAGGTGAATTGCCTAGGAGAGGGAAGATGACCTCAAGATAAAGCCCCTTGGTTCCACCTCCAAGGCTTTACCAGCTACAGTGTCCGGTCTGGGACAAAAACCTTTCACATTCCACTGCCACATTCCTCCTGGAGGCCCCCTGCAGTCCCAAGCAATCACTTCCTCTCTGTCAGTTTAGCCTCCTTTTCCTGAATGCCAAGTACCAAGAGCTGGAGAGAAAGTGGAGACTGTCTCTTCCCTTCTCCACTTGGTATTCTCTTGATTCAACTTCTGTGGGGTTTTTAATTTTCCTGTCAGATCCCTCCTGGTTTAGGGATCTACTTTAATTTTTCTTCCTCATGTTATTTTCCAGTGGATTCCTAATTTCAGGGAGGCTAAATTATTGTCACTCACTCCTCTGTCTTTGTTTGACATTCAATTTGTGCAGTATTTTATTTTTGCATTAAAATTTCATAGCCACTTGAAGTAAAAAGAATTTAATTTCAGTATTTTTTTTGCTATTGAGAAGTATGATACAGTTAGATTTTCAAGAATATGATAAAATAGGGCAAAATTGTATAGGAAAATGATATAGAAATGTAAAAAAGGTACCCAAATGATATCAAACTTCTTACTTATAAAGTATTCAAAATATTTTAATGAGTTTTTTAAATTTCCTTTTAAGATATTTCTATACAATAGGTTTGAATTGCTCTAATTAGTAAAAGTTTTAATTATAGGAGAATTTGGTTGCCTATATGAAAAATATGTACTCAGGCATTGCTATCAAAAGAAGTCCATAATCTGTATACAGTTACCAAAGGTGCTATACCATCTGTCTCATCATAACTGAGGCTTTTAAAGTTGATACAGTATCAGAAACTGGTTTTGATGTAGTTAAAGGAATTCAAGCTACGTGGTATAAATGCAGATATTTTAGAAACTTTTCTTTCTATGAACAGGGAATAAGAATTCAACAAAACTATACCTTTTACACTTAAGGATGGTGCTTCTCTTGGTCCATTTTTTGATGCTATGAAGAAATATTGATAACTGGGTAATTTATAAAAAATAGAAGTTTATTTCTCAAAGTTCTAGAAGTTGTGAAGTCCAAGAAAAGACATTAAGTAAAGCCTTCTTAGTATCTCCTCTGTTGGGAGCATCATTGTGTCCTCACATAGCAGAAGGTAAAATGGGAAAAGAGGCCGACTCTTTGGAGAGATTGAAGGAAGGGCACAGCAAGTTTGAGTCCAGCTCGGGCAACTTAGCTACATAGCAAGATCTTTTCTCAAAATTTAGACAAACAAATAAATAAAAGAGTGGGGATATTGCTCAATATGAAAGTTTTGCATTCAATTTCCAATACACACACACACACACACACACATACACATACACACACACACGCACATGCACACGCGCACACACACACACACACACACACACACAGGCAAACTTTCTGTCAAGCTCTTTTATAAGAGAATCTCGGTTATTTTTCTGTTATTGGTGAGACAAAATATCTGACACCCAAAATGAAAGAAGGAAAGGTTTATTTAGCTTATATAGCTTTTGGAAGTTTCAGTCCATACTCAGCTGGATCCCAGTCAGGGTGATGTGGCTAAGGGGCAAATGTTCATGGAGGCTACAGGTGACAAGAGCAGAAAGGGGACAAAAGTGAGGAGCAAGACTCTTTTTCTCTGTTATACTGTATGCAAGCTATCTGCCCCAGAGTGGGTGCAGCCCTCACACTGCCAAACCCAGCACAAGACAATGAGCCGATCACAAATGCTAGATTTAGCCACCTTTGAAAGGCCCTCCACCCACAACCCCATGAGGCTTTGGGGGATACTCAGACACAAACTACAACAGACACCTAAGCCCATTTACAAAGGAGAAACGCTTATGACCTAATTATTTATTAAAGCCTCTACCTACTTAATGCTATCACATTGATCACAAAGTTTCAGAGGATGAATTTTGAATTAGACATATTTAAACCATAGCAGTACCCCACTAGTTGAGCAAGAATACTAAATAGATGGGTTATTCATTTAACAGAATCCTCCCCTGGACGATTGGTGTGACCCTTAACAGAATCTTACCTACAAAGTATAAATGAAGCACAAAAGAAAGAACAAAGTGCTATTGTGGCACCGAGTTTACAAAAAGAGTTGAAAAATTGAATTGAAGTTACTTTGCTAGCAAATGGTTGTTTAAGCAATAGCTGTAGCAAAACTGGACATGAGGCAATGGAGAGATAATTACTGTTACTGCTCTTACTCATTTTTGCATGTACCATTAGCAAATTCATTACCATATGACTATACATTGCTTAATCAAAATTCCATAGGTCAATTAGCTAAGTGAATAATAGAGGATAGCACACTGGTAGAGTATCAAGATCATTGTACATAATGGAAGGCAATATTTCATTTCAGTTTCATTTCTATTAATAGTTCATTTCTATTATGGCTTATATCTAAATGCCCCCCCCCATCCCCAACAAAACCTCATGTGCCCATTGTAGGATTTGGAGAGATGATTGGATCATGGGGATGTGATATTTATCATTGGATTAGTCCACAGATGGGTTTATTACTAAATGTATTTTGGAAAACAAAGCCTGGTTGGAGAAGAAGGTTTGGTCACTGGGGGTGTATTCTGGAAGAATGTTATCATGGTTTATGTCAGTAGTCCCTAGGCCTCATGCATTTGCATTGTACATTTGTGATTGGTTCATTGTCTAGCCCTTAGATTAATAGTGTCAGTGCTACACCTAGCTAGGGGTGGAGTCAGCATACAATGTAATGGCAGGAAGAAGGTGTGTCTCTTTTGCTAGTTTCTGCCTTGCTGTTTGCAGCTGTCATAAACTGTGGCCCCGCCATGCCACCCTGCCTTAGAGCCAACTAAATATAGACTAAAACCTCCAAAAACTATAAAAAACAAACCTTTCCTTTCCCAATTTTGGCATCAGATATTTTGTCTCAGTAACAAATTAAAAAATAACTAAGATAAAATTTAGTACCAGGAGTCGGGTCGTTTGCTGTGACTATACCTGACCAAGTTTTTTGAAAGGCTTTAAAAATGGCTTGTGGGCAGAATTTTAAAAGGTTCAGACACGTTTCCTGGATGCATAGAGCTAGACCAGCTTACGCTGTTCTGTAAAAGAGATTTTGGTCAGAGCTCAGGAGACCAGAAGGCTGATAAAAAGCCTCATGGTAAAGACCAGGCTTGGGAAGTTTCTAAAAAGAAAGACTACATTAGTTGTTAAATTCCCCATGACGTGTGTTATGGCCTGACAAAAAGTTTGTCTGCATTTTGCTCATGCCAAGAGACTTTGCCTGAGACTGAGACTAAGGGCAATAGACTGATTAATCTGGAAAAAAAAAATTTGAGGCAGTCAAATGTTGAGGCTGGGGGTGGGGGTGGAGGCTTTTAGCCAACTTTACGTTACAAATCAAAAGCAAAGAGCCCAGCAAGATAATTTACAATTCTGTGAGTTTGGAAAAAAAAAAAAAAACCTCCAAAAACTCCAGTAAAGCTATAAATTATAAAGATAAAGCTAACGCTTTGATTGCTGAAAAAAAAAATGGCCAGAGGACATCCCAGGAAGCAGCAGGTCTCTATCCTTTACAGGCTCAAAACTGCAAAAGTAAAAAAATCTGCTCAGAGGAAAAAGCTGCAGAGCACCATGCTCCAAAATGGTGACAGAGGCCACATAAGGTTCCAAAATGGTGACAGCCACATGAGTTTCCAAAATGGTGACAACATAAAAAAGCTTTTCTTCACAATCAGGTTCACAGAGCCCAGCAATCTAGACAATCAACCGCTACAGCCAAAAAAAAAAGAAAAGAAAACAAGCCTGGGTATTGCTCCAGCTGGCAACAAACCTTGGTGACATCCACAGGGTACTGATTTTAGGTGCCAAAAAAATACACAAATTCTGAGGATAAGACAGCTTCCACCTTGACTGCAAAGGGCCATGCAGTGTGCCCTTGAGAGGGCAATTTATAAAGATTTAAAGGTAAAGCCAAAGATACAATAGAGAGCCCAAAAGTTTAAAAAAGCCAAAACATAGATCATCCCAAAAAAATCTGCAAAAAGTGAGCAGAGAGGGTTTAAGAAAAAAGCTGTGAGAGCTAAAATCCCTAAAAATGCTGTGGGGGTAAAAATCACCCAAGCCTTTTAGAGCTTACAATCAGATTGCTTCAAATGTTGATCATAGAACTCTAGACTTAATGTCCACCCTACTGGATGTTAAACTTGCCTTGTTTCCAGTGCCTTATATTCCCCTTTTTATAACTTTTAAAATGATAATGTTTATCCTGTGCCTTTGCATTTCAAAAATGTTTAACCTTGTTTCATTTGTATAGGGGGTTACAGTTAAGAGTTTGCCATAGATCTTAGAAGAGACTTGAGACTTAGACTTTTCAGCAATCCTAAAACTGTTAAGACTTTGACAATTCTTGGAGATGGAATGAATGTCTTTTGTATAAAAGATGTACATGAGTCCTGGGGGCCAGGGGCGGAATGCCATGGTTATGTCGGTGGCCCCCAGGCCATGTGTTTGCATTGTGCATTTGTAATTGGGTTCATTGTCTAGCCCTTAGATTGACAGCTCAGTGCTACACCCGCCTAGGGGTGGAGTCAGCATACAATGTAATGACAGAAAAAAGGTGTGTCTCTCTCTTTTGTAGCTGCCATAAAATGCGGTCCCACCATGCCACCCTGCCTTAGAGCCAACTAAATATAGACTAAAACCTCGAAAAACTATTAAAAAAAAACCTTTCCTTTCCAATTTTGGCATCAGGTATTTTGTCTCAGTGACAAATAAAAAATAACTAAGGCAAATGTGCCTCCCTTCCTCCTTCCTTTGACCCCTTTTCTGCTTCCAGTCCCTGCTACCATGTCATGAGCTCTTACTCCTCTGCTCCTCTGCTATGTTGCCCTAACTCGGAGCCAGAAATCTATGGAATAAAACCTCTACAGACTGTAAGCTAAAATAAAACTCTCCTTCCTTGAATGTGAGTTTCAGGTATTTTGTCCTAGCAAGGAGAAAACTATGACAGCTACAATGTACTATACATTAGAAATTTTATTTGCAACTGTTTAAACATATAGGGAAGAATTATCGGAGTCATTTTCAGAAATATAAAATGAAATAACACAGTTTTGTTGGAGTATTTTAAGTGATAGATTTGCAAAAGTTTAACCATCATTGCTCAAAGATACCTGCATTACTACTTTGACTAAGGGTCTCCAGTTGCTACATGTAGTTAATCTGATGCCACCTACTGCTTCTGCATAAAAGCCCACCTGACATTTGCCTCAAACCCACAGTAACATAAAAGAACACAGGTAGGAAGAGTTCAGAGAGGAAGTGGAACCTGCATGACTGTGTGAAACCCACATCTAATGAGCAGGCCTGTGTGGTTACAACTACCTCTTTCTGTAACAGTCCATTTTCAAAGCTATGTTTCACTCATTTGAGCAGACTTCTGAGTCAGGGGTGAGACAGGAGACTCAGCTTCTCCACCACAGAAGACCCTGTATAATAAAGGGATGTGAAGACTCTGATGGCAGGTAGTGTACAGTCTTAGGGCAAACTTGGGACTTTTTTGGTTTTGCAAGTGACAGTAATATCTAAATTACTCTTTCTAAAATGTAAAGTTATAAATAAATTAATAAAACAGATGGGGAAATAAAGATGGGGAAAGTGATTGGGGTGGGGTTAAGAAAGAGAGAGAAGATAAAGGGATTAAAAATGACCAAGATACATTACACATATATAGCAATTTTTCAACATGAATCTCAGCATTTTGTATTATAAACAAGCACTAATTTTAAAAACAGAACACCGAACTAAAAAATTTAAATAAAATACAAAATCATGCATTTCCCTAGCTGAAAGACTTACAATGGTTTGTACTGACACCAACCCGACGTCCACAATCTGACAGCGCACACTGCTTTCTGCTCTTCCCTGTGCCTCTGTCTCTAGCTTCGTCTCTCAGGCTGCCAGGAGGCACTCCAGCTGTCTTCAGTGACCAATAGATGTCCAGATGCATCAGGTTTTCACCTGCCTTTGGGACTATTCAAATATTAGTAAATCTGTCTGAAGAGCCTTCCTACTATCTCACCTGTCTGTCCAGGTCCTCTTCCTTGAAGACAAAATTCAATCAACTACTCCAAGACTTCAAATTTTTATTTTTTCCTTCTTTGTACCCCCAGAGCAATGCAAATGCACATTTATTATATTATGTTGTATTCATGCATTGCTTCATTTGCTATCTGTCTTTGTAATTTCTTAGTGAGGAAGACAATATTTTAGAGGTAAATCGATGAAGGAAATAAGAAATGGATTAATATGTAAATAAGCAGAACTATATAACATGAGCAGAAAGGTACAGGAGTTGAAATAAGAAATAATAAAAAATGAAGAATCAGGGTGAGGATTGGAAGAGGTAGAGGGCCAAAAGAATTAATGAACTGCTTCCTATATCAAGCCACAAGCCTCTACCTTTCCTTAGGGACTTCGTGCCATGCCAGAACAGATCATCAGGGTTTTTAAACCAGCCCTATTACTTACTTAGGCCCATAGTCTTCCATAAATTACTAATCTTCTCTAAACCCTCATCTCTGAAATGGAGATAATTATGTTAGCTTACATGAGTTAAAGTAAGGATTAAATTAATTATAATACATCTCGCATGGTAACTGCACATAATAAATACAGGACAGATCATTAACTGGAAATGCATTTCTAGTTTATGTTGAAGAGTGAAGGAAGATACTTTCTCTCTGGTTCCACATTATCCAAATAGACTAGGATATTAAAACAGTCTGATACAACGTAGTTATTTAAACCAGGCCATTTTAGCTCCATGCCTAGCACATGAGAACAAAGACATTTTTTATGCTGAGCAATCAGAGCACATAAATAATGTGACCATTTATTTGAATCTATCCTTTAGCTGTGGGATGGAAGCATATACCAAAATATTTTATTGCAAGGAGGTCAAAATATTTTGATACATCATATAAGCCACATAATTTCAGAGGCTCAACCTAGAAGAAGAAGACAAAACAAAATAAATATATGAGTTTAATACATGAAACAGCAAAGGAGGCCCTAGTACCACAACAAGAAAATTTATTTAATAGGGCTTAACTTTTTCAAGCTTCTCAAGGTTGCTGAGAAATTCTTCTCAAACAAATGTAGCAGAATGTTTGCCTGTTAAACCAATCGCAAGGCTAGATTTGGAGGTAAAATATTATCCAGTTGGATTAATTATTATATATCGTTGGACTCTATGATTAAATAAGCATCAGGGGTTTTTTGTTCTTTTTTGTCACTTATTAACAATCATTATCTTGACATTCTAACTATGCCGCCTGATTAATAGTTCCTGGCAGCAATGGCTAATAGGACTTACTGGAATCCCTGTTTACTGGGTGGTTATGTAATAGCTACACCTAGCTGTATGTCTACTCATGATATTTCAGCGTGTCTGGCCTGAAAAGAATGCTGTGTTCAGTAGACCCGTGACATTATTCACTTTGCATGCTTTTTTTTTTACACTTCAATCCCTTAGTTTGCTCTTCTCCTCCTAATTTCTCTCCAAGTTTTTGTATTCTAATAAATCATCTTTATGAAATGAAAACAAGTTACTCCTTCCACATTGTAACCCACAGCTAAGTTCACTTCCTAGTAATGGGTCTCCCAGAAGGGTTTGGGAGTCTGAATATTTCTAGAGTCTGAATAGTCTGAATATTTCTAGAATATCATCTCTGACTTATCACCAAAATAGCTTGGCCTGAGTCTCACTTCTTGGATATTGAAACAGTGCCCTAAAGTAGCAGTAGCAAAGTTCAGAATTAGGGTACCTTGGAAATGAAGGGTGGTAAGCTGGTGCTTTGGGCAGAAGAAAGAGCAAAGATGTTCTCTACCTGTTATCTTGATGGATGTACTGATTCTCAGAAATGAGCTTTCTATCTGGGCTAGAAAAGACCAAGAACTGAGTCAGGGTAAAAGCTGGAGGGATAGTAAAGGATATCTGTGAGAGCTCAGTATTAGGTGATGTGATGAATTATTTCAGTTTCATCAGATTGAGTAATGGAATTCTTGGTATGAAATATAAAAGCCTCATCAGAGATGCATGCAGCAAAATAACATGATTTCTGGTATTATGAAATACTCAAGAAAAAAACAAGGAATGGTGAGAGATAGTAAGAATGGCAGAATGTTGATAGTTCTTGATAGCTGGTATCCAAAGTCATATTATCCTGGTTTTGTACACTAAAACATGTCTACTCTAAAAATTTTTTTCATGTAATCTTTTAAGGCAACAGAAATCTTCATATACTAGAATAACTCAAAACAAAAATGTTGATCTCTAACAGTCTTGATTTCTAAAGAAAGACTTTTATCTGAAAAGAAATAAGGAAGGAGAAGATTCTTATTATCTAGGATACCAACCTGTGCTATCTGATTTAATCTAGATGACTCCAAATCAATGCTGTCATGCACTCTGTGAAGCTAATCAGAAAGCTCTGAATGAAGCATGATCTGGAAAAGATATCTGAAAATTATTTACATGGTATCGTTGATCAAGATTTCAACCTTATTCCAGTATCACTAATCCCTTAGTGATTATTTATAGAAGGGATGGAAAGAAAGGTGGATCACAAGTACCTTATAGCATAGTAAAATTCCTGGAATTTATCCTAAGATTGCTAAAGATTAATCAGAGGAGCATTTATGCAGCATAACTTTCTCCTTAAATTTATCTCAGAACAATCAAATAAAGTATCCTTTAAAAAGTAAGTTAATGATCCTCTCACTTCCCCTATTTCTTTGCCAACATGAGACAAAGCTGAAGAAACTGTGAATTTTCCTCCTGAGATAAATCAGCATAGCTCGTATTTCCACTAGTGAAGTTTCGTAAGACACCAAATGAATTTTTCTTAAATATTGCTTGTTGCCTTTTTCAAGTTGACCAAAAAACTGTAATCCTCCCATAGCTAAGGAGAATTTCTTTCATTTATTTTTTTCCTAAAATGAACATGTAGTTCTAGAAAAAAAATGGTATCTTTGTTTCCAACTTCACAAGTATCAGATGATAAAAGACGAAGATGGTGGGAAGTAACTTTGCTGAATTACCTAATACAACTGAGTTACCACTGTATTTCAGGAATACTATAGTTAAGTATCAAAAGAAGACAAAAATGAAAACAAAAAACTTACTAAACCCCTTATAGTATACACAGATACTTCTACAGGAAGAATTTTACAGGACTTGGAACCAAATAGTACTTTAGCAGATTTACATAGGCTTTGAGAAGTAGAACGGACTAAAGTTAAGCCTAAAGAAGCCAGCAGAAAAGGTGTAACTGGCAATAAACTATAATTTCATGTTCCTTTGTACATTATGTGATTGTGTCCATGAAAACTCTTTCAGAACATCATGCAATTCAGTACTTCCTGAATGTTTATCAAATTGAAATACTATTTTCATGTAAAATCTTTTTAGCTTTAATACATGATACTTATATTTATGGGGTAGAGTACAATAATTCAACACATGTATACAATGTGTAATAATCAAATCACAGTGATTACAGTAGTATTTTCCTTTCCTCAGACATATATCATTTACATGTGTTGGGAAACTTTTGAGTCTTTTAGCTATTTTGAAACATCATAAAGTTTTGGTCTCTACTGTTCAATATAGAATGCCATACTTAATTTCTTTTATCTTACTGTATTTTTGTAACTGTTACCCAAATTCTCTCTCTACACCCTCATCTCAACCCTGCCTAACCTCTAGAGACCACTATTCTAGTCTTTTCTTGTATAAGATCAACTTTTTTAGCTTCTACAATTATTAAGCATTCTGAGTGGGTGAAAAAAGGATTCCAGGTTAAATGAACTTGGGGAAATTCTGAGTCAAAGTTCAAATCTTTTACTTTGGAACTGCTAGAGACTTTAATATGATTGTAGTTATTGTTAATCTCAAGGGGAATGTTATAAATCTAGAGCAATATTCAAAGATCATCTTGCAGAGGTAATATTCTAAAAATACATTAATGACTTGTGATATGAAGATATGCCCTGGAAAATACATACACACACACACACACACACACACACACACACACACACACACACACCATAAACACACTGAATGTTATTTATGGACCATCTTATTCATTATTATTAACAGATATGTTTTCTTCATTACTGTGAACAAGTCTAAAATTGTGCCAGGAAATCTCTCCCTTTAATAAAGAGAAACAAAAGAATCCTAATTTTTGAGGAAACCACCAGATTTTGGCAGTTACTTTCATTTTAATCTAAAGTTAGCAAATTCAGGAATCAAGAAATTTATGAAAAAAGAGATTCCCTTAAGTGAGTGTACCTTAGTCATCTCTCAGTATCGATTCAAAGTAAATTTAATAAGTTTATACTGCAGGTGATAAGGATCATAGTTGCAAAATAGCAGTTGATACTGTGAATGTGAAAATTTTAGCTAATTTAACATAACAATAAAAAACTTTTCCTCCTAAAATTACACTCAGTCCTATAATAACAGCAATAGCAATAATGCTAGACTGGTTGACTTTTGGACTAGGTGACCCTTGGACTAGGTGACCCATTTATTTACATGCTACATTTAGTCACAACGTGTTTCATTTTTGTTTTATTGTGGTTGTTGTTAAAAAGGAAATTTCAAATATGTTTGCCTAAATTGTTTATGTTCTTCTGACACTCTAACAAGGACTCACTTCCTCTCTTTAGTCCTGAAAAAGCAAATGCAAATTGCCTCTGCAAGGTCCAGACACCCTGATCCATGAGCCACAATTCATCTTAAAACAAAAAGAAACATAAACAAAAAGAATGATATAGAAAAACACACCTAAAAACCTATGCATATTTTTGAGCATGTTAAAACTTTTTATATTTTTTGTTAAACATGAATATTTGGTGCAGGATAATACATGTTTACCATCACTTATTGGGTTTGATTGTATTGCACACTGTGTTCCACTAAATGACAGATATACAATCTGAGAAATATGTCATTACGCAGTTTCATCATTGTGCAAACATTATACAGAGCGCTTACACAAACT